TTCCCAAATTAATTCCTCCTAAGTCAAACCTTCCCAATTTAACCCTCTCCATATTAATCCTTCCTAAATGGATCCTACCCAAATGAATCCTTCCCAAATTGATCTTTCCCAAATCAAACCCTTCCTAAATGAATCCTTCCCAAATGGATCCATTCCAAATTAACCTCTCCTAAATGAATCCTTCTCAAATTAATTCCTCCCAAATTAACCCTTCCCAAATGGATCCTTCCCACATGGATCCCTCCCAAATTAACCCTCTCCAAATTAATCATTCCCAATTTGATCCTTCCCAAATCCTTCCCTCTGCTGGATCCCATCCAGCCCATCCCAAATCCTTCCCACTGTTCCCAAAACAAAACAAACCAAACCAAAAAAAAAAAAAAAAACCCCCAATGAAAAGAATTTTCCTGGATTCCCAGGAAGTGCTGATGGATGTCACAGGGAAAGCAGTGCCGAGTGAGGATTTAAAAGCCAAAAAACTCCAAATTCCAGCTGGGCATTCCCAGAATCCCAGAGCAGGAGGGGACACATTTTTGTGTCCACGAGATCCCCTGTGCCACCATCAAACAATTCCAGGTCAGCATCATTCCATAGTTCCCATGGGATTTTTGAGGGGTTTTTTTTTGGGATCTCCTGGATCTGCTCAGGTGTGATATTCCCACTTCCAGGCAGGTGAAGTCCATGAAGGATAAGATTTGGAGGAGTCCCAAGAATATTCCTGGCTGGATCCCATATCCATGATACCCACAGATCCCAAAGATGCAGCTCCCAGGAGAGGAAGGCAGATTAATTTATTAATTTAATCCCTTTTAATTAAAGAGTTCCTAAACCCTCTGGAAGGATGGGAAAAGCTCGTTCCCTCCGCTGGGAATGCTCCAAGGAAAAGGGAAGCTGGAGGTGAGGCAGCTGCCAGGATTTCCCAGATCCAGGGAGAAATGGCCCAGGGAAATTTGGGATTTCAATCCAGGCCCATTAAACATTCCCGAGCCAGACAGAATATCCCAGCAAAAATGGGATTGGAAATATCCAAGAGAAAATGGGATTGGAATATCCATCAAAAAAGAGGATTGGAAATATCCATGAAAAAATGGGATTGGGAATATTCAAGAGAAAATGGGATTGGGAATATTCAAGAGAAAATGGGATTGGGAATATCCACTTAAAAATTGGATTGGAATATCCATGTAAAAATGGGATTGGGAATATCCAAGCAAAAATGGGATTGGGAATATCCATTTAAAAACCATTTAAAAACTGGATTGGAAACCCATGTAAAAATGGGATTGGAAATATCCAAGAAAAAAATAGGATTTGCAATATCCAAACAAAAACAGGATTGGAAACATCCATGTAAAAATGGGATTTAGAAATATCCATGGAAGAATGAGATTTGAAATACCCACTTAAAAATTGGATTGGAATATCCATGTAAAAACAGGATTGGGAATATCCAATTCCAGCCCCACCCAACTTTTTTCCCTTGGGTTTTTCCTTTTATTTCCCCTTGGATTCCTTTTTTCCCCCCGTTTTCCTTTTTTTTTTTTCCTCCTGCCCCTCTGCTTTTCTTGGATCCTGGGATCGAGGGGAGTCCCCAGAGGAGGAGGAAGAGCCCTGAACATTCCAGAAAAAGCAGAGCTCAGGCTCAATTCCCTTTTCCAGCTCCTTGGCAGCTTCCAGGGATTCCTGCAGCACAGGGAAGGAATTTTTTTTCAGCCAGACAGGGAGATTTTCTAGGAGGCTGAGCACTGGAATTCCCATCTCCATCCCAGTTAAATTTCCAGCCCTGGCAGCAGGACAGGGATTGATTTAGCAGGAATGAGTGGTTTAAAGATTCCTTAGGGAATCGCTGGAAAAAAAAGGGGATTTAATCTCAAAGTGAAAGTGTGACAAAGCTCCTTGGCAAAGCTCAGCCTGCAGATTTCACTGGATGGGCTAAACTCAGGGAAAAGGCAAAATAAAACCTAAATTGGAGCAAGCTTTGAAAGTAAAAATGAACAAAAATGAGCTGTGTGGAATGGGAGAGGGAATAAGGGAGATCTTCCCATGGAATTCCTTCATCAAGCTGAGCCCCTTCACCACCAGTTTAAAGGTTTCAACCTCCAAATTTAAAAATTAAATTCAAATTCAAGCAGTTAATGGCCTAATTAGAACAAGTTAACAAAAGGTTCTGTAGACAAAGCACCAAGTAATTGACTCCATGTCTTCATTATGAATAAAAACAGAATTAAGAATGGGGGATGGGAACATTTTCCCCAAAATCCCTCTCCTCTCCTTTCCAGGGGGACTCCACCCCCAGGACACAGCTCCCATTCCCTGTCCCCATTCCTGGCTGGACCTGGAATCTCCTCAGGGGACAATCAGGGACCTGCACCTTCCTGTCACCACTCCGGGGGTTTTTTTGGGCCACCAGAGAGTTTTTGGGATCCTTCCACCCCCTGTCCCAAATCTCACACACAGCTCCCCCTCTCTCCTCTCCTCTCCTCTCCCCCCATTCCTGGCTGGATTTCTCTGGTTTGGGAATATTTTCCCAAATCCTCAGCACTCCCCCAGCCACCAGGATTTGTTCAAGTGTTTGTTCAGAACACTTGAGCTTCACCCAAGGGGGTGAGAGGAGGCCAAACCCCACAAAAAGTGCTCCCCACTCCTCCAAAGTGATTCCCTGATCCCAGACAAGGAATTCCCAGAGCAGCATCCAGCTCCAGCCAGAAATTCCCACAGGATCCAGGGCACTTCCCCCACGACACTAATTAGGGCTGGTGACTCTCTCACTCACAGCACACCCTGAGCAGAGTTTGCTCCTCTGCTCGGGACATCTCCCCACAAAACCACCCGGGGTGAATCCAAGGAATTCCGAGCCAAAAAAACAAAAACCTCTTTATTCATATACAAAAAAGCCATTTGCATAGAAGTTGACAGGTGCTTTTCTAATTCCAAAGTGCTTTTACAAGAGAAAAAGCCAGAGCAAGAGTTTGCCATTCCAGCCAAAGCAGGCAGCTCAGCGTTCCCTGGGTTAGGAGCCCCCAGCTAGGAGGGATGTCAGGCCTAAGTTAGGCCTGGCTCAGCGTCACTCATCAATAAACAGCAGTGGGATAAAGCTCAAGACACCCAGGCTAAGGAGGAGCTCTGTGAGCCCAGACTATGCAAGCAGGGGAGGTTTAATACATCAAACATCGAGGTCCAGGCTGGTCCTTCAGCACCTCCAGGCCCTCGGGGATTGGGGACACGAGTTTGGATTCCAGCTGGGGTCAGGACCGTGGATGTGGGCAATGCAAATGAGACTGGGATTAATGAGCAAATGCAGCCTGATAACGAGGACGGCCCGGCAAGGGCCAGCAGAGCTCTGGCTGCAAGGAGATTGGATCAAGTCTGGCTTGTGGGAAATGAGGCTTGGCTAAGTGGAAATGTCCAGTTTGTCAGTGTGATGGTTAATGGGATGATTGCAGTAAAACATCACCAGCCTTGCTGTGACTGGGCTGTGAGCACACGCAGCGCTCAGTGAAGCCGGGTTCTCATCGACACAAGGCCAGGCTGCACTTTGTCAATACTCATCCTCATCACCCTCATCCTCCTCTCCATCTGCAGAGTCCCTTCCAACCTCCTCATAATCCTTCTCCAGGGCCGCCAGGTCCTCCCTGGCCTCGGAGAACTCCCCTTCCTCCATTCCCTCCCCCACGTACCAGTGCACGAAGGCCCTCTTGGCGTACATCAGGTCAAACTTATGGTCCAGGCGCGCCCAGGCCTCGGCGATGGCCGTGGTGTTGCTCAGCATGCACACGGCCCTCTGCACCTTGGCCAGGTCCCCACCTGGCACCACGGTGGGTGGCTGGTAGTTGATACCCACCTTGAAACCAGTGGGGCACCAATCCACGAACTGGATGGAGCGGCGCGTCTTGATGGCGGCGATGGCGGCGTTGACGTCCTTGGGCACGACGTCGCCGCGGTACAGCAGGCAGCACGCCATGTACTTGCCACGCCGAGGGTCACACTTCACCATCTGGTTGGAGAAGTCGAAGCAGGCGTTGGTGATCTCGGGCACGGAGAGCTGCTCGTGGTACGCCTTCTCGGCCGACACGATGGGAGCGTAGGTGGTGAGAGGGAAGTGGATGCGTGGGTAAGGCACCAGGTTGGTCTGGAACTCGATGAGGTCCACGTTGAGGGCGCCGTTGAAGCGCAGCGAGGCCGTGACCGACGACACGATCTGGCCGATGAGGCGGTTCAGGTTGGTGTAGGTGGGCCGCTCGATGTCCAGGTTGCGGTGGCAGATGTCGTAGATGGCCTCGTTGTCCACCATGAAGGAGCAGTCCGAGTGCTCCAGCGTGGTGTGCGTGGTCAGGATGGAGTTGTAAGGCTCCACCACGGCCGTGGACACCTGAGGGGCCGGGTACACCGAGAATTCCAGCTTGGATTTCTTGCTGTACTCCACCGAGAGCCGCTCCATCAGCAGCGAGGTGAAGCCGGAGCCGGTGCCTCCCCCGAAGCTGTGGAACACCAGGAAGCCTTGGAGGCCACTGCACTGGTCAGCCTGCAGCACAACATCACATTTATCCCAAAAATACTGGAGATCTATCCCTCAAAGGACTGGGAAAACTACCCCAAGAAAGCAGGTATTTTTCCCTCAAAAGATTGGGATAACTACCCCAAGAAAACTGATATTACAATCTTTTTAAGGGATAAAGATCAGTTTCCTTGGGATAGTTATTCCAATCTTTTAAGGGAAAAATACCTGCTTGCTTGGGGTAGTTATTCCAATCTTTTTAAGGGATAAACAACTACCCCAAGAAAGCAGGTATTTTTCCCTCAAAGGACTGGAATAACTACCCCAAGAAAACGGATGTTTATCCCTGTAAGGATTGGAATAACTACCCCAAGAATATTGGGATAACTACCCCAAAAAAGGGACATTTATCCCTGTAAGGACTGGGATAATTATCACAAGAAAACAGATATTTTTCCCCTCAAAGGATTGGAATAACTATCCCAAGAAAACTGATGTTTATCCTTGTAAGGACTGGAATAACTGCTCCAAGAATATTGGATATTTATCCCTGTAAGGACTGGAATAACTATCCCAAGAATATTGAATATTTATCCCTGTAAGGACTGGATAAATCCCAATAATGGATACTTATCTCTTTAAGAACTGGGATAAATATCCCAAGAAAATGGATCTTTATCCATTTAAGAACTGAGATACCAACCCCAAGAAGGTGGAAACTCATTTCTGTAAGGACTGAAATATTTACCCCAAACACAAAATCCCGCTTGGAGCGCTCACCGAGCCCCTTAAAAACCCCCGTTTTTAACCCTAACTCTCTCCTTTTACAACAACCACACAAACCCAATCCCAAACATTTTTTTTTTTTCATTGAAAACTTCCACCCCAAGCTCCAAAAAGGTGCAATTTGAACCCAAAAGCGTGGCTCCTTCCCCACCATTTTGCGGATCCTGCTGAGCACGGTGTCGATGATTTCCTTGCCGATGGTGTAGTGGCCACGGGCGTAGTTGTTGGCAGCGTCCTCTTTGCCACTGATGAGCTGCTCTGGGTGGAAAAGCCCGTGGTAGGTGCCAGTCCTGATCTCATCTGCACCAGGAGGAGAAGAAAAAAAAAAAAAAAAAAATGGTGCTGGGTGAAGCGTGAGGCAGGAAAAATCCGTGGAATGTTCACCGGGAGGGCACCGTTAGGGAAGGGTTGTGGGAATAAATTTCTATAGGTGAGTCCTGCCAGAACTCCATCTTCACCCTGAAATCCTCATTTAATCTGGTTTAATGAGTTAGGACACCACAATTCCAGCGTTTTTATGGGATTGGTTACCACAGGCAGCTTGGAGAAGTCTGGAAGCTCCACACAATGCTGACATTGCCACCTGACCCAGCCCCAGAGGGTTTTCAAATGGACACATCCCATAATGTCCCGGCTCACCTCATTAAGTTCCCCTTTTAATACCTTAATGAGGTGTCTAAAAATTAAGCAGAGCCCAAAACAAAAGTCTGCAATCCTTTAATTAGAACTAATGAGTCACATCCCAGATGGGAAGATAGGAGGAGAAGCCTGGAAGGCAGGAACAGGTGACTGGATTTGGAGTCCTTTCCAAAATAAAAACAATTTTTATTTTCTAGGAAGACACCCCAAACTGAGCTGCCACACAAACAAAGACCCAGGGATCCCCAGGGGTGCTGGAATCTTTTGGAATCCAAGGTGAAGAATAAACAGGAGAGCCAGGTCCCACAGACACATGGGATGTGTGGCACCCCACTCGGTGGGTGACATCAGAACCAGATGTGCCACACCTGGCCATGGGATGGTGGAATTTGGGCCAGGACCACCAAGGCTGGAAAATCCAGGTCACTTTCCACCTGCTGAAGATCCCAAAAGAAGGGAACAAGTCACTCCTGGTCCCTTTTGGAAGTGTGAATCCTCTCTGCTTCCAACGCCTGGGGACATTTAACCAGAGCAGAGGAGTGGGAACAACAGGATCCCATGGAAAAAGGGTTGGGAATTACGGATCAAAGCTGGACCAGGGACAAAATCCCAGTTTTACCAATGACAGTGGGCTCCAGGTCTATGAACACTGCCCGGGGCACGTGTTTGCCAGATGCTGTCTCACAGAAGAAGGTCTCAAAGGAGGAATCCACTTGCTCAGAGTTGGGATCCATGGATTTCACCTGCTTGGAAGCAGGAATGGTGCCATCAGCCTGGATGCCGTGCTCCAGGCAGTAGAGCTCCCAGCAGGCATTGCCCATCTGCACCCCGGCCTGCCCGATGTGGATGGAAATGCACTCCCTCTGGAAAAGGGAAACAGGGAATTTCACATATGGGATGGGGAGTTCCAGACCCCCAGAGCCATGCTGGGGTTGTGAAGGAAACGGGCAGTGTCTGGAGCTAGAGCCAGGATCAAACTGGGATTAAACCAGGATGAAACCAGGCAGCTGGACACAGCATTCCCAGGAAAAACTCTCCCAGCCCAGGGAAGGAGGAAGGAAGGAGCTGCTGGCTCCACGCTGGGGCAGCACCAGCTCCAAACCCCCACGTCCTGATGGGACAGCAGCAGCTCCAGGCTCTTGAACCCCGGGGAAAAAAACGCTCAGGGAGAAGCCAAGCTTGGAAAAGCTGAGCCAAGCTGGAGTGACGGCAGGGATTGCCCCGGGGCAGAGCCAGGCTGGGCTGACTCCTGGGATTTATCCAGGTCATCCCCAGCAGCCTGAGGCTCCAGGGAGGCTCCTCAGGCGCCGGCGTCTCCTGGAGGCTCCCTGGGCATTTTTGCTGCTGGTGCTTCCCTGGGTAATTGGCATCTGCCGAGATCAAAGCCGTGGCGGAGCCTCCTGTCCCAGATCCCAGGAATCCCAATTATTGCTGTGCCCGGCACGGGGCTCTGCTGCTTCCCCAGGGATCCCTGGGAAGGACAAGCAGGGCAGCTGGTGCCGTCATCGGTGCCATCCATGGGCAGCTCGGCTCAGGTCTCACCTCATCTCACCAAGCTGGGATCTCCACAGGTAAGCCTGGCTTAGGCAGGCGTGGTGGGAACAGCAGATCCCAAACCTCCAGGGAAGTGCACAACCCCCCCAAAGCGCCCAGGAGTTTCCAGAGGATTCCAGCTGGACACGCCAGGGCACCAACCACCCGTGGCAGGGAAACGATCCAAGGAAACTTCTCCATCTCCTTCCCCAAGCGTGGATGTGCCAGGATTTCCCCATCCCACACAGCCAGGACAGAGCAAGGCAGGACTGGATGGTTCCTGGGACACGGGGACACCAACCCAGAGCTGCCTGAACACCCCAGGGAGGGCCACCAGCCCCGG